AACGCATAACTGCTGAAAATCATTCCGAACGCTGCGAAGCTGCCTCCGATTAGGGTCACCGTCCTGTACGACCACTTCACTGATAGGATTGATGATAGGGGACCTGGAATTACAGACAATCTTATAGATAGAAATTATCTTATAATATATCCTCAGGAATGGCAACGCATGGCGGGTATCATGGGCGAAACAGTATACTCTGTTATGTCCATGGTACTGCTCATGTCTATAGGCGACGGTTACCACTTTCCATCAGGTGGGCCGTCAGCTTGTTTGCCATTCTATGTTGCGTGGTACTTTTTAATTTGAGGAGCAAATTGTTCACTTACCTAAACTGCTGTACAAAAAATAACACAAAGCGACAATGCCCGACGAGGCTGTTGGTGATGCGTCGAAGACATCATTGAATTCTACCAGGAGTACTCCGAACGACTTAATGGTCCCGGGGATTAAGATATTAACCAGGGTCGCACCTAGAAACAGTAAATTATATTTGTATATATATATATATATATATATATATATATATATATATATATATATATATATATATACCAATATCTATATATTGGCATTGTAACAGATACATTTATTAAATATCGGTTGTCGAATATATAATAACAAGATGAATATTTCGATATAGGTAATGACCTTTTCCCCTCCATTCGTGATCAAAGAAACCCAATATATAGGTATTGGAACTGTCCCGATATTACGCATGCTGAAATAATATTCTAAGTTGCATTGTTTTATGATTCTATTGGCTATTTACTGTCCACTGTTGAGCATAAATCTCCTCCACAAAATAGGTTTTGCCAGTAATTGCCACGTTTGGCAACCGCAGTAAAGTTTTGGTAATGTTTTAAGAGGAACGCTTTTGCCCATCCACTGACTATTAAGTTCCGTTAGTCGCCTCTTACGACACACAAGGGAAAAAGAAGGGGTGGCCCATACTATGCCGGGACCACACGGCATAATTAGTTATAAATAATAATAGTTATAACAAACATTAATTTTTAATTAGAAGACTGTAATAAAGAAAAAAAAAAACAATTGTTGTTTACAGTGATCCGTAGCTATCAAATCCCACGTCACGATGTTTTTTCATGCTAATCTCCGAAACTGATCGACTGATTTTAATGAAATTTTGTAAACATGTGCTACGATAGATTTATTTTTTATCGATAAATGAGTCTACATATTTTTTTTTTTTTGGACAAAAACAATGTTCGCTACGTAATGTAGTGAATAGTGAAACTTAATTTTAAATGTTGCTAACGAAATGTGTTTATTAATTGTTGTTGTTGTTATATGTTTATTTAAGTACTTGTTGTTGTGATACTTCTATCACGACAACAAGTACATAAATAAATAAATACATAAAACAACAAATAAAAAGAAGTATTTTTTTATTTTCATAAAAATAGTGTTTTTCAAACGATTTTTTATTATATTTACGAATTAAGGGAGTTTGACAGTTTCCCCAATTCACTTCCTTAGCAATCACAATATATTAAACAAAATAAATTATATTCATAAATGATTATAATGGTAAATGTTGTTGTTGTTTATTATTTATTTATTATTTTGGACGGAAGCTTACAGCTATAATAATTTGCTGATGCTACTATTAAATAATATATCCATTTCATTATCCCTACTACATACGAGTACATCATTGAAAATAGTGGAAACTCGTATTGTGAAGCAATTGCTTCTGTTAATTATGTTGTAAATTGAATGAATGATGAATGGTTTATTTTCTCTTTACAAAAAATAGTAAAAAGTAACAACTTGAGGTACAAATAAATATGTAAGACCAATTTTGTGAGAGACTGGTGCCTGCAGTGGATTTTGAAGAACTTGTGTTACCCCATGAGGATGGGGTACTGGTGACCCCAGTACCCCAAATATAAGGTACTACACAAATATAAGGCAACCAATTAGTGCTACAATACACAAGTAATAACAAAAAAATATAAATTGCGAGAATAAATTAAAAAAAAAGGAGAAAATTGTTGTAGTTCTCGTTTTGTTGTTGTAATATATATTAATTGTTGTTATTCTTTTTTCTTGTTGTTTGTTAATTGTGCTTGTTGTTTAATTACTGTTGTATGTTTATTAAAGCATTTAATTGTAGTATAATTATGAGGACGTGGATTATTTCTTTTTTTTTTTAATTATGTACAACAGAAGATACAGAGAAGATGTAACAGCCACGGTTTACCTACGAGCACGCACCATCCCCACTTGCCGTCCGGCGGCACCATCTCCCAATCCCTCTCTGGCGCCGGGCCGATAGTGAAGCGACCCGCTCCCACCGTTGGGCCTTCATCTTCTGGGAGTTTTACTGTGGACAAAAATAACAACTGTAAATAACTCTTAAAATCTCTTTTATATCACTAAATTATTTATTAATTATTAAATTAAATATTAAATAATAATTTATTTAAATTATTATTCTGATACATTACCTTTTTGAACAATAAAGAATAACTAGTTATAAATACACGGTTTTACCCGTATCGATTAGGGAAAGAAATAGCCAGAGTTGTTTTTAGCCTATTTTTTATGACACTGTGAATGATAAATAAGCTAGGTATTAAGGGTAGCACAGTATATTCTGTGATGCCCATGGTACTGTTCACATTTACAGGCGACGTACACATTTACTATCCATCAGCCATCAGCTTATAACGTAACGATGTCTGTTCATAAAAGATATTATATATATTTAAGAAATTTGCATGACTGTGTTTCGGTTTGAATGGTGGGATATGGCGTGAATTTACAGGGTACAGAGGAATAACACCCGAGTTCACAGGAATGGCAACGCATGGGGGGTATCATGGGCGGAACAGTATACTCAGTTATGTCCATGGTACTGCTCATGTCTATAGGCGACAGTTACCACTTTCCATCAGGTGGGCCGTCAGCCTGTTTGCCATTCTAAGTTGTATAAAAAAAAATTAAGAAAAATAAATAAAAGATATTTAAGTAAAAGTCTATTTTATTGGGCGTTCTACTTCTGAAATCAACGCGTACGACAAACGGTAACGGACAAAAAACTCGTTTAAACAAAAATTACAATGATGATAATGATAGGTCCATATCCCCCCCCCTCTCTTCCCCCATTTTACCACCACTGTCTAATTAAAGTCAAAGCAAAGATCATTGAAACTGTGTTTATAAATAGAGGTGCATTGGATTGTTGGCATTTAGCCAGGATTGGAGCTGGAACGACAATGTATTGGGAGATATACTCGCGAGCTTGCCACCGAACATGTTCGGAATACAAAGTTGCACGCGCGTTCACACATCTATACTAATATTATAAAAAATTAAATATTTGATTATTGAAACAAACACAAAAATATATATTCTTTATTGCACTTGTAAGTTACACATAAAATAATGTATTTATAAACGTTGTGAGCAAGGGTGGACTTATCTCTGACAGAGATCTCTTCCAGTCAACCCGATACAGTGGGAAAGCATTTCATTAGCGGGCAGCTCAAGTGCTACAAAATGTATGTTTGTAACAAATAAACTCAAAAACTACTCGATCGATTTTAAAAATTCTTTCACTTATGGAAAGCTACATAAGCATGTATTTTATCTATACTTACAATAAATCTGTAAAGAGGTCAATTCTGTACATGAAATATATTTCCAAAATAACTATCAGCGGGTGATTAGTGATCGATACTGATGTCAAATATGCAATCGGTAAAATTTTTGTCTGTCTGTCTGTATGTTCGTTATAGAAACAAAAACTACTAGACGGATTCTAACGAAACTTGGTACAATTATTCTTCATACTCCTGGGCAGGTTATAGTATACTTTTCATCACGCTACGATTAATAGGAACAGAGCAGTGAAGGGAAATGTTGGGAAAACAGGAGAAGTTACTCCATTTTTAAGCTTCCGGCGCGTGCGCAGTCTTAATAGCCACTTTTTAAAATGTAAAAATATCCACCCGTGCGACGCCGAGACGGGCCGCTACTACCTACTACTATTTGCATGACTGTGTTTCGGTTTGAATGGTGGGATATGGCGTGAATTTACAGGGTACAGAGGAATAACACCTGAGTCCTCAGGAATGGCAACGCATGGAGGGTATCATGGGCGAAACAGTATACTCTGTTATGTCCATGGTACTGCTCATGTGTATAGGCGACGGTTACCGCTTTCCATCAGGTGGGCCCTCAGCTTGTTTGCCATTCTAAGTTGTATAAAAATAATTAAATAAATAATAATAGCAATCTGACCTTTTGTTGTGAGACATTAATGCCCACTATTAGCCCACTGGTGGGATAGTATTAAACGAAAACAATCTCACCTTTATCACATCTCTTCGAATTTAGGTACACGTTTTCACTTTTAATACTAAGAGATTTTACATCGCATATATGCATTTTTGTACTTGATAATGCGTTCCTTTGTTCCAAATCGCGTGTTACTGATGCGTTCGGCTTTGAAAAACTACTGAATGGAACAATATATAAACAGGTCTTACGGACTTATTAGTCTATATTATTATATACTTGTCGTAATTATATTCGAATGTTTATGAGTACTTATTGTCAGTCGATTTTCGCAAACTATTTTCAGATTTAATTTAACATTACTAGTCAGTATTGACTTCTGTATACTTCTGTTCTCCTGGTACTTTATAGAGAAAACAGTAGGTAATATTTATTTTATATATATATATATGTACAGTCCAATAGATATCCTCAAAATTCAAGTTCCACCAGATTGCAAGTTCCACCTTGAACACAACTGTGCCATCATCCAATTTAATACGGTTGTTTTTGCGTGAGGCCGGAACTAACAGAGAAACAAAAATTCTAAAAATTAAAGATTGTATCCAAAAAAAAAAACTTTTATTGTGACGAAACTAATTGTTTTGATTTAAAAACTGAACAAAATTTGATAAAATTTCTATTGGACTGGATGGATGGGATTTCTTTGTCGTCCTGTCTCCATATTGTTGGCAATGGTCCTTGGGGGAAAGGAACTAAACGGACTAACGGCCCCATTGCTAACAATATACCTCGTCAGGTCGACTTCCCCTCCGGACACCATCATAAGGGTGAGAAGGGATTGTTAGTAAAATAATGGAGATTAGCAATCCCATTGCTATCAATATACCCTATCTGGTCGACCACCACGCGGTGTTCCCCTGGAAACCATTGTGATTGATTTATTATTGGATTCATCATGACGGGCCAACTGACCTGCGTCGTCATTACCTATCATCCCTCAATGGTACCCCGCCAGTGTATACCGATAGCGCAAACGAGGTAACCATTACATTATCATCCATAAAAAAAATACTATCATGGTTAATTCCTGGTGAATTTGTCACGATGGACCACCTTGCCTGACTTCAGCCTAATCTATTTTTTTATGCAACTTAGAATGGCAAACAGACGACCAACCTGATGGAAACCGTCGCCTATAGACAAGTGCAGTACCATGAACTTAACAGAGTATACTGTTTCGCCCATGATACCCCCCATGCGTTGCCATTCCTGAGGACTCAGGTGTTATTCCTCTGTACCCAGTAAATTCACGCCATATCCCACCCTTCAAACCGAAACACAGCCATGCAAACACAACTGCTTCACGGTAGAAACACTATTATCACTCACTGGTACTCCGCTAGCGTATACCGAGGGGTCATTAATTCCGTTTATTAAAAAAAAAAAAGATATGTCGTACAGAGTTGGAATTCTTATCAAGTGTAGACTTTATTACGTGCCAGGCACTTGTCCGCCTGCTTATTATATACGATTCCACGTTCTCGATTCAAATATTTTCAAAGACACGTACGACGAAATGTTTTACAGATTGAAAATATTTAAATATAGAACGTTTTGTAACGATAAGTCACGAATAAGGCACGTCTTTGTAGAAAAGTCGCATACGAATGCACCTCCATACCATTCGTGTTTCTGCCGTGAAACAGCTGTTTTTGTATGACTGTTTTGTTTCACAGACAGTGAAATTACAGAGTTTTTTTTTATGAATGATAATGGAGTGGTAACCCCGCCTGCGCTATCGGTATACGCTGGCGGGGCACCAGTGACAGATGATAGGTAACAATGAAAAGACAGGTCAGTTTGCCTATCGTAATGGATTCACTTGGAATAGAGCACGATAGTTTCCAGGGGGAACCGCGCGGAGGTCGACCTAATAGGGTGTACTGCTAACAATAGAACTACTAATCCCCATCTTTAACAATCCATTATCCCCCCGAAATTACATAGTACGGAGGTATAACATCTTAGTTCTTAGAAATGGCAACGCATGGGGTTACCATGGACGTTACAATGCATTCTGTGAAGTCTGTATTTTCACCTTTTTCCATCTGGTAGGCTGTTAGCTTGCTGGCCATTTCTTTTTTTTTATAAAAAATAACCTCTTTCTTTTTTTTCTTTAACCCTTAACTACCAGAATGAAATTTGATACCGGGGTTATAAATCGCATTGGGCGCCAACAATCGATTTTATTTTAACATTTGGCTGTTTACATGTTACCAAATGTTTTTTCAAAATAAATATATAAAAATATCGTTTTGTTTTTATACTATTTTTTCCCCATTAATAAACACAGTAAAGGGTACGCCTATATAATTTTTAATTTGATTTAAAAAATCTGGTTTTTAAGGGTTAAAGAAAGTTGTAGATTGATTCGTACCGCCTCTTGCAGTAACTGTTACAAGTGCTTTAGTAAGACCATGCGATTGTAAATGTGTAGAGGGTACACGCTCCTGTAATCAATCGTTTACTTCACGCTGAGTGCAAATTGTTGTAAATTAAAAAAAAAATAGTTTAACCGGTTTTGGTAACACGAATTAAACACGAAATCCAAACACTACGACTCACTGTCAGGTTGTTAGCTTTGTGGAGGACATACAATTCCACGTTCTAAATTCAAACATTTTCAACTAGCTTTCATCCGCGACTTTGTCCACGTGACCGGGATGTTTACCGATCGAGATAAAAAGCAGCCTCTATCCTCATCCTACGTCCCATACAGTACATATATTATTATATTGTATTCCTTTATCTCTTTTTTTGTATATGTCTATGTCTACTGTTATTTGTGTTCTGTAAGTAATGCAAATAAATTATATATTCATTTATTTACCTCTTTATTGCACCATAAACAAAAATATACAATGACAATTTTTTTTTAATGGATGATGAATGGAGTGATAACCCCGCATGCGCTATCGGTATACGCTGGCGGGGCACCAGTGAGGGATGATAGGTGAATAATGAAAAAAGCAGATCAGCCAGCCCATCGTGATGAATACACCTGGAACTCAGCACGATGGGTTCCAGGGGGAACCGCGTGGAAGTCGACCTGACAGGGTATATTGCTAGCAATGGGACTGGTAGCCCGCATTACTAACGATCCCTTCCCCCCTACAATGACAATTGAATACTTCAAGTGAAATACAGTAACATAAATACAGATTGAAATATAAACATAAAGGTACAAAAGGCGATCTTATCGCTAGGGCAATCTCTTATACACAACCTGTAAATTCTATATTTATCTATTTATATACCAAATTCCCTACCAATTAGGCGTTAGAGGTAACAAACAAACTCACTTTCACATTTATAATATCAGTAAGAAATAAATCGCGTGTCGCCCGTTGCAGCCAGTGCGACAGGTGCTTTACTACGATCATGTGATCGTGACGACCGGTCCACGCCTCTCTAATCAATTGATTACTTCACGCTGGTCGCAAATTACATAGAACGACCCAACCGACAATGTCAAATACATTGGCGTATTAGTAAGGAAGGAGGGGGGGGGGGGGGGAAGGGTTAGATGGAATGTTAAGGTTTAAATGAATGGGTGACAATGGAATGGTAACCTCGCCTACGTTAACGGTATACGCTGGCTGGGCACCAGTGAGGGATGATAGGTGAGGATGAAAGCAGGTCAGTAATCCCATTGCTAGCAATATACCCTGTCAGGTCGACCTCCACGTGGTCCCCCCTGGAAACCATCGTGCTGAATTCCAGATGTATTCATCGTGACGAGCTAACTGACCTGCGTTTTCATTCTCATCTATCACCCTTCACTGGTGCACCGCCAGCGTATACCGTTAGCGCGGGCGGGGTTACCATACCATTTTCATCCACCAAAAAAACAAACACGAATGGGACAGATATTTTGAATTCTTTAATTATTGTAGTATATTAGAAATATTTGTGCCCAAGGTTGGCAACATTGGAACATGTAACTGGGCTTCACTCTGTCATGGCGTCCGGCATTAAAACTGCATTTTCATTAATCAGCGATTTTTTTTGTTACAAAGAAGAATTATTTAAGCGTGCAAAGCACATTTAACGTTTTACAACATTCACGAACGTAATCTTCGTTCCAATAATACTCTCCAACTATCTATCCCCTCTCACCGTACTGGTTACGCTTCAAACTCTTTTCTCCTACATTCTTCACGACTCTGGAACGCGCTTCCTGATGCCATTAAGAGACTACCGACTAAACCGTCTTTCAAAAAAAGCGTTCACGCTCACTTTTTATTTTTATCCGAGCAATAAGTGCTTTATATTATTCCCAAATCCGTGTATAATATAGTATATATCATATATGTGTAAGTATATTTGTTATTCATATATATTTATTCGTTTATATATGTAATTTTAGTATGTATGTATATCAATAATTAGTAGTACCGCATTCGAGTATTCTGACGCTTCCTTATGGTCGACTGGGAGAGAATGCTTTCAGCATTAAGTCCGCCATGTACACATATTTGTACTAATAAATAAATAAATAATTATAATATCACATAACGCATATAATTTGAAACTATTTATAGCAAAAAAAAAAGTAACCAATCTTAGAGATAAGGTTATCTACAATTATTATTAAAATATTCCACATATTGGTATATATTTTACACTTCATCGTACACACTGTACACACTTGTTCACCAGAGGGAGACTTTGTACAAAAGTCGATTGCTTAGGCACCTCTGTACCATTCGTGTTTCTACCGTGTAGCAGTTGTGTTTACATCGCTGTGTTTCAGTTTGAAGGGTGGGATATGGCGTGAATTTACAGGGTACAGAGCAATAACACCTGAGTCCTAAGGAATGGCAACGCATGGGGGGTATCATGGGCGAAACAGTACACTATGTTATGTTCATGGTACTGCTCATGTCTATAGGCGACGGTTACCACTTTCCATCAGGTGGGCCGTCAGCTTGTTTGCCATTCTGAGTTGTATAAAAAAAAACACTAGTAATCATAGTGTGTATCTATATGCCATGTCGTATGGGAAGGTCGACGAAATGGACCTGGAGCTGGACATTGAAAGAGAACACATGAATTAGTTACCACAACAAGAGGAAGCTAAAGTATTATTTTTGCATCATACTCGTATAGGTTATTCTTTATATACAAATCCTATACACTTTCCCCGGGGGGAAAGGGATTGTTAGCAATGGAGTTTGACAGCCCCATTGCTAGCAATATGCCCTATTAGGTCGACATCCACGTGGTTCCCCCTGGAGACCATCGTGAACAATTCTTGTTGAATTCGTCAATGTGTTAACTGACCTGCTTCATCCTCATCTATCATCCTTCACTGGTGCCCCGCTGGTGTATACCGTTAGCACGGGTGGGGTTACCATTCCATTATCACCCATTATACGCTTTCCCCTTTTGGGTTCTAGGTTTCCTCAAGGTTGACTGGAAGAAATCCCCTTAAGGGACAAGTCCGCCTGTGTACATTTTTGTTATAACCTAATATGTACAAAAGCATATAAATAAAAAAATAAATTATTAGGAAATATATTATTTTCAAAATTATTAGAGATCCTTACCAAAATTACAATAAAATAATTCGAAGTATCAAAATTTTGCCTATTAAAGCAAATATATAATCTATACTTATAATAAATCTGTAGAGAGGTAAATTCTGTACATGAAATATATTTCCAAAATAACTATCAGGGAGTGATTAGTGATCGAAACTGATGCCAAAAATGCAATCAGTAAAATTTTTATCTGTCTGTCTGTATGTTCGTTATAGAAACAAAAACTACTAGACGGATTTTAACGAAACTTGGTAGAATTATTCTACATACTCCTGGGTAGGTTTATAGTATACTTTTTATCACGCCACCATCAATAGGAGCAGAGCAGAGAAGGGAAATGTTAAAAATGTCCACCCGTGCGACGCCGGGACGGGCCGCTGGTCCTAAATAAAATCGAATGGAAAACCTCGTCTTTTTTTAAGTCGGTTGAAAAATCATGAAAAGCCAGTGCGGCTTGCTAGTCATTATTAATATTATAAATGAGATAGTAAGTCTATTTGTTGACGGCGTGTATGTGTGAATGACCATGAAGAGACGAGTTTCGAAAATGTATGGAGCGAGAGCATTGTACAAGAATTAAGGCATTTTCTAGTTTTGGCATTCAATTCTCTTTATTTACTATACAACAGAATTAGCGTGAAGATATAATCGTTATCAATAAAAGGGCATTAAAAAAAAAAAGTACTTACGCTTTCTAATTCTTTTATATCTTGTCTTACGCATGACGCCAACAAAACTCACTTCTATTACAATATTTAAACAATTTTCAAATTTAGAACTGCTCTTTAATACTGTATTTAAAAAAAGAAATACTAAAAAAAACACTTCACTCGAAAAAACCAACTTGTCTGTAAAACATGACAAATGGAACGATGACATAAAAAAAAACTACCCACGAATAATAATTCGAAAACGACCCGCAATTAAAAAAAAATACTGCCACAGAGTAAGTAATGTTAAGTTCTGCATCTAAGATCACTAAGAGCGTTCATAGTTTACCGAAGTATGACATCTTACTATTATCATGTTACTAACTATATAGCTACTAATAATAATAAAACCAGAGTGAGACTGTACAAAAGTCGTTTGCTTAGGCACCTCTATCCCATTCATGTTTCTACCGTGAAGCAGTTGTGTTTGCATGGCTGTGTTTCGGTTTGAAGGGTGGGATATGACGTGAATTTACATGGTACAGATGAATAACACCAGAGTCCTCAGGAATGGCAACGCATGGGAGGGTATCATCGCACGGGAAAGAGAGGGGTAGCTCATTTTATGCCGGGACCAGACGGCTAAGGCAGTGACTCTTAAATAACAGTGGTTATTTACTATGTAAATATTATCATATCTTTTTAACCGACTTCAAAAAAAAAAGAAGTTCTCAATTTGGTTGTATTTTCTTCTATGTTTATTATGTCATAATTCCGTCAGTTTTAGACTGATTTAGACAATTCTTTTTTATCTGAAAAGATAAAAATTGGGCCCATAGAAATTTTATGAAAACCGGTTCAATAATTTAGTTTTTAAATCAAAATAACTGGTTTTGCCATAACTGAACGAGATTTTATTGTGGACCACAGTTTAATTATTATGTTACGGTATCGGAATTCGCAAGAGCCTTACCTTTCTTCGAAGACTTCACCGAAAGAAGCCCCTCATCGTTCTGGGAGCCAGGCGGTACTATGTACACTTGGTTTCCTTCTAGAAGTTTCTCCTCCGCTTCGTCGCCGTCCTTCTCTTCGACGACCGATCTAATGGCGGGAGACGACATTTTGTATTGGTATCGCTACACAAAATGGCTGCCAATACAACTCTTTGGCGCATGCGCGTCAGTGGAACATGCTGGAATGTAGTATATATTTCTTTTTTTTTTTTTTGTAAAATAGTCTACATAGCTCTATGTAGATGTAAAAAATTCAGTCTTGTCTTTGGCTGGCGTTGATTTATCTGTAACAAAGAGAAGTAAACAATTAAGATTTATTTTGAACTATAAAAAACAGTTTTCGCTCCTTTAATTGTTAAAAATTTATAGTTAAAACAGTTAAAGAAACCTTAATATGACGCTGATATAGAAAGAGAGAAAAAATGCAAGAGAGAAAGGAATAAAGATTATTATTTCTTAAACTATGTGACTCACACTATAACAATATTAATTATAAACCAAAACGAAAACAAAGCAACCAAAAAAAAAAAACATAGAATACAATTTAAAATGCATTTAACGTTCCCTGCTATCAATGGGGCCGCCTGTACCCGTCACTACTGACCCCCTCCCCTTTCTCTAACAGATAATATCTAGTTACAGTGACATAATTAAACATTTTGAAATATTGATATACTTAATGTGATAATGCAACTATTTAGGTTAACTTTATCAGTTGGAGAGGTTTGTTTGTACGTCTCTTTCTAGTATTTTCTATTTAGGACATATGTATATAATATTTTTAACCGACTTCAAAAAGGAGATTCCCAGTGCGGTTGTATTTTTTTTTTATTTGTAACTCTGCCAATTATTATCCGATTTGGATTTTTTATGAGTGTTTTATTTGTGTTTGCATGGCTGTGTTTCGGTTTGAATGGTGGGATATGGCGTGAATTTACAGGGTACAGAGAAATAACATCTGAGTCCTCAAGAATGGCAACGCATGGGGGGTAACATGGGCGAAACAGTATACTCTGTTATGTCCACGGTACTGCTCATGTGTATAGGCGACAGTTACCACTTTCCATCAGGTGGGCCGTCAGCTTGTTTGCCATTCTAAGTTGCATAAAAAAAACCTACAGACTAGCTTCAGTAGCTTAGTTTTGAAATCAGAATCTGGTTCTGCCACAATTGAAGTTGGTTTTTCTGTTATGAAACAATCTTAATTATTTGTCGAATTACTGAAGTTAAAAATAAGTTAAATTGCAAAAAAATCCAAGGTCTTTTTATGTTACCGAGGTGGAAAACAACCATACGGCCCACTCGACAAGGGTTTCGACCGCTACTGAAGAATATCTCCTTACAAACACAAAGAGCGCACCAAGTCTGCATATGGCCACACACGTTGAAGGAAAAAGTCTGAGGGGCGTGCCATGTTAACGTAGACAATCTATACATAGGTTTTTTATGGGTGCTAATGGTATGGTAACCCCGGCTGCGCTATCGGTATACACTGGCGGTGCACCAGTGATAGATGACTGATGAGGATGAAAGCAGGTCAGTTAGCCCATCCTGACGAATTCAACTAGAATTAGCCACAATGGTTTCTAGGTGGAAACACGTGGAGGTCGACCTGACAGAGTATATTGGTAGTAATGGGGCTATTTGGCCCCAGCACTAACAATTCCTTTCCCCCCTCTATACACGGGTATATCCTAAGTAGTCCGAACTTACAACATAGGATATTTATTTATTGACTAAAGCGAGCAAAGCCGCGGGAAACAGCGACTACTCTGTGAATTCAGTACATATACTGTTTCCAATAGTCATTTACGGATGCCCTTTACAAATGATGTCATGTTATGAATGAAGTGTTTGTTTATTCAGAGTAGGGTTGCCAACCGTTCTGTTTCGGGGTAAAGGGATTTATTAGTAATGGCATCTAACAGCCCCATTGCTAGCAATATAGCGTTTCAGGTCGACCTCCACGCGATCCCCCCTGGAAATCATCATGGTTAATTATTGTTAAATTAACCGCGTTGGGCCAACTGACTTGCTTTCATTCTCACCTATCATCTCTCACTGGTGCCCCGCCAGCGTATACCAATAGGTTACGGGGTTACAATTTCATTCTCATCCTTTAAAAAACGAAAAAAATTACAAATCGTTATTTTTGAAACCTTTTTTTTTGTACAACTTAGAATGGCAAATAAGCTGACGGCCCACCTGATGGAAAGTAGTAACCGTCGCCTATACACATGAGCAGTACCATGGACATAACAGAGTATACTGTTTCGCCCATGATACCCCCCATGCGTTGCCATTCCTGAGGACTCAGGTGTTATTCCTCTGTACCCAGTAAATTCACGCCATATCCCACCCTTCTAACCGAAACACAGCTATGCAAACACAACTGCTTCACGGTTGAAACACGAATGGGACACAGGTACCCAAGCAATCGACTTTTGTACAAAGTCTCCCTCTGGTAAACCTGGTGTTGACAACCCTAACCTAGACACACCACTGTATAGTAAATAACTAGATACTTATATGTAAATATATTGAACAAAACACGTGGTTTAAAAGTCAATAGTTCCATTGAGTGTTTACAACGAAGTGTGGCAACGTCGGAATCATCTGTCAATTTTGTAATGTACTTGTAAAGACTTGTTGGGAATATGGACCCGTCAAAGAACCGCTGACATACAAAACCAAAGATGGATACAGGCTACTGATTGCAGACAATCAAAATTCTGTTTCGACGCCGAAGAAACGGCTGCTCACGTAATCCTGTAAGTTGTGGTCCATCAACCTTTTGAAATCCTCGGAACGGTGACGTCGCTCCGTGAAGCCTGCGAGGATCCCAGGAAGTTTCGGTGCTTCTGGGCGGAGCTGAGTTGGCTGTACTAGCCACGACTCATACGCACAACGGCCCAAATGAGAGGCTAAGCGCAGAAAAGAGAGTCCAATTTACATTACATTACAAAGATTTAAAACACAGGTCTTTCCAAAACCTCCTGCAGGTATTAGTCTTTCACAAAACAGAGGGGCTACCATGAAACGTTTTCCGAATTTCCGGGGCCGAACGAAATACAAATCTGATGTTAAAATTACATACTATAGTGTAAAACTTGAAGACTACAGTATGGGGTTCTTAAAAAAACAGTTCTTATATTAAGGTTTCTTTAGGGCCAACAACACGTACGTAATACTCCTAACACCTATGGAGGAAAGGGATTGTTAGTAATGGAGACTAAGAATCCCATAGCTAGCAATATACCCAACCAGGTCGACCTCCTCGCTGTTCCTCCTGGAAATTATCATGATTAATTCCTGATAAATTCATCATGATGGGCTAACTGGCCTGTTTTCATTCTCATCTATCACCCTTCACTGGTGCTCCGCCAGCGTATCCCGTTAGCGTAGGCGGAGTTATTATTCCATTTTCATCCAATAAAAAAATAACACCTAGTGTTACAAACGTACATAGGCTACAGTAACTGTTTTACCATCAGACGTGCTTGTTTGCTACTTTCTTAGTATAAAAAAAAAAAGTTTAAATAAAAATCAGCATTTACATGTGGCAACCCTTTTTTTTTGTTTAACGTGTGGAAAATCTTCAGCAAGACCATCCCATCTGCCGGAAGGAGGGCAGCTGGGGTGTGTGGGATTCGTACCCACTAAAAACCACACGACGAGGCGCTTATGTTGGATCCCGGGTTCCCGTTTGTAAGACTCTCGACCGAGGATCCAACGCGACGGCCCGCCCTGTAGGTGGTGTAGGGCAGGCCTCCTCTCTTAGTTAGGGTGGGGAATGTCCTTAACACCTCCTAGGGTCATATGTAGGGCGTGCCTAACATGTGGCAACCCCGGTTATACTGCGTGTACGCAGCGATTATTATACTTTGTACCTATGTAATTGTAAAACATATTTTAGATGTGTTTCACAGAGTATGTTTGCGTTTCCGCTTAGCAATAATGATATGTTATCACATTGTCAAATGCTAAATAAATATTATGTTCAGCATAAGAGACTGTGACCCTGAACATCACTTCGACCACTCACGTCTTTTTTATGGATGACAATGGAGTTATAAGCCCACATGCGATATCGGTATATGCTGGCGGGACACCAATGGCTTTATTATGTTTCAACCGTGAAGCAGTTGTGTTTGCATGGCTGTGTTTCGGTTTGAAGGGTGGGATATGGCAATAAATTTACAGGGTACAGAGGAATAACACCTGAGTCCTTAGGGATGGCAACGCATGGGGGGGTATCATGGGTGAAACAGTATTCTCTGTTATGTCCATGGTACTACTTATGTCTATACGCGACGGTTACCACTTTCCATCAGATGGGCCATCAGCTTGTTTGCCATTCTAAGTTGTATAAAAAAAATGGTAACTCCGTCTGAGCTAACGGTTGAAAATACCGGGCAGTTAGCCCCTCGTGATGAGTTCACCTGGAATTAAGCATGATGGTTTCCAGAGAGATCGCGAAATCGACCAGATTCAAATTTGTCAAAGGACGCTCTCGATAGGTGGCGTGTTTTTTTTTTTAATAGATGATAGAGTATATTGCTAGCAATAGGGCAATTTGATCCCATTACTAATAATCCCTTTCCCCCTACACCGTCTAGTTACGATTTCATTATCAGTTAGTTACACGTGACGTCCTGTGAGATACGAGACGCGTGGCAACACTAGTATACAGGGTCTCCCGAGGTCAAGAACCATGAAAACAAAGATCCGACAATTTACAATTGGCTGTGGAATGGACTCTGTGGCGATACTAATCAACGTTCGTTGATGCGCGGACGCATCTCCATTGTGGCGGTAGGGTTGGCACTAACGATATTTAAAAAAAAAAATATATAACAAACGCCAGAGGGAGACTTTGTACTAAAGTCGTTTGCTTGGACACCTCTGTCGCATTCGTGTTTCTACCGTGAAGCAGTTGTGTTTGCATGGCTGTGTTTCGGTTTGAAGAGTTGGATATGACGAGAATTTACTGGGTACAGAGGAATAACACCCGAGTCCTCAGGAATGGCAACGCATGGGGGGGTTATCATGGGCGAAACAGTATACTCTGTTAAGTCCACGGTACTGCTCATGTGTATAGGCGACGGTTACCAATTTCCATCAGGTGGACCGTCAGCTTGTTTGCCATTCTAAGTTGTATAAAAAAACCTACAGACTAGCTACTACTAGACTAGAACGGCAAACAACGTTCTAAATTGTATAAAAAATATATATCCTTCTAATATTATTAATGTAAAATTAACAACAATTGGCTGAAATGTAG